CCGCTCACGGCCAACCCCGGTGAGGATTATCTGAACTTGTTCTGGGCCTCCCCTATGTCGACTCGGCCTCAAATCAGTACCTGGTGCGGTGTGTAAACATCGCCAACCCGGGGAGGAAAAGGCGGCCGGGCGTGGTTTGCTGGCCTCCCACCCCCTCGTGTGCCGTGCCGTGCCGGGCCTTCACAGGTGCTCGCTAAACAGCACTTGCCCCAACAGCCTGTTACAGGCTACACGGGGGGGATCTTTGTTGTCGCTGTGCGGTTGTGTGGCAGGCTTTAACCAGGCGGAGTGCAGTGTGCGTGCGCCGGACGGGAGCGTCTACCGGGAGCACGAGTTCCGGGCGCTGGCGCGGGACCCCACGCAGCGGCACCGCTTCTCGCTGCTGCTCCCCTCCGGTGAGGCCCCCCGCTCTCCACCGCGCCGGCAGCAGACGCGTGATGCCAATCGGAGACATTCGCGGCGACGCTTTCGTGACGGAGGTGCGGCACACGAGGGGCCGGCTCCCCCCTTGCGCACGTGTTTTTAATCACGGCCAAGGAAACACGCTGCAGCAGCAGCAGCAGCATTAGTAAGCACGCGAGGACAACTCGGTTTCATGTGGTGCCATTCACAACAGCAAGGCATTAACGCGGTTAAACTTATGAGGGATGCACAAGAGAAAAATAAAACGCGTCATCAGACGAGCCCCAAGAACGGAGCGTCCCCGACGGAACCCGGGGCGAGGCCTTCCACAGGCGAGGCGGCCGACTACCGGACGCTCTCTTCGCCCACCCGGTACGCTCAAGGCGCCCGGATTTGGTGGGTCGAAAGTTTTGCCGGACGGAGGCAACGCGGTCTCGGCAGATATCCACCGAGATAGGATGGAGCGTTAACCTCCCCCCCCCCCCCCCCACCCCACCCTTTCAGGGGCCTTGAAAGTCTCATACAAGAACTCGACCGTATATTTTAGCGGTAGCTAACGCGGCGAAAACGAAGAATCGGTGTGACGTGCTCGCATTTCCTCACTCCGCACAAAACCCCGTTAACCAGGGCGGTCCGGCCGGCCTGTCGCGATCCTCGAACCGCTTGCGGCGGGTGGAACGCGCCGCGCCGCACGGCGCCGCTAGCCGCCCGCGACCGTGCGGCGCCGCTAGCCGCTAGCCGCTAGCCGCCCGTGACCGTGCGGCGCTATCGTGCGCTGTCGCTGCGGTGGTTCCCAGGGGGCGAGGGGAAGGCGCCGGCGCGGAGCCCGGAGCGTGCCGGGGCGGCCCCCTCACGACGGAAGCCGGTGAGGGAAGGTGGCAGGCGGCGCGGGGAGGGTCCGGCGCGGGCGCGGCCGGCGCTCGGCAGGCCGGCGGCGCTCCTCCGCCCGCGGCTCGCGTAAAGGTGAGGCCCCGCGGGGGGGGGACCGCTCGCGTTTTTTGTTCAAGGGCTCGTTGTGTGGTTTTATTTTTTTTTATTACAAACCATTTTTTCTTGACCAGGTAAGGCTCCAGCTGAGCTGCTCCGTAGCTCTTTGTCAGAAGCGACCTGGCTATCACAGTTGACAGCAGCTCAACGAAGTGGCTTGCCGTCATCGTCATCACGTGGGCGTTTCTAGCAGCAGCCAAATACTCTAAACGCGTGACGTTGATTCTTAATGTGGAGGGGAAAACCGGAAGACCCGGAGAAAAATCCACGTGACGACGGGGCGAGAGAGAGAGAGAGAGACACGCAAACTCCAAATATACAGCAGCAGGCGTCAGGGTCGGGATCGAACCCACGGCCTCCTGTAGACCGGGGCGAGGTAGTTAACATCTCACCACGGCTTCCTGGTGGGCTCACATGGAGCGTGCTAGTGGCTGGGCGGAGACGGAATCCCAAATGCACGCAACGTACACTTGTACACACAGAGCAGTCCTCGCACACGTGTTTCTGTTTAGCTGCCCCGGTGAGCGAGAGCTGTGATTCACCCGGTGAGTGAAGGCCGGGTGGGTGAGGGCTATAAGCTCACGGGGCGAGTGAAAGCTGGGAGCTCACCGGGTGAGTGAGGGTTGGGTGTACACACAGAGCAGTCCTCACACATGTGCTTCTGTTCGCTCACAGGGAGCGATGGATCGTGCGATTGAGGAGCGATCGTGTTTGTGAGCGTGCGATTGGGGAGCGATTAATCGAGCGATTGGGGGAGCGATTTATCGAGCGATCGGGGAGCGATTAATCGAGCGATCGGGGAGCGATTAATCGAGCGATCGGGGAGCGATTAATCGAGCGATCGGGGAGCGATTAATCGAGCGATCGGGGAGCGATTAATCGAGCGATCGTGTTTGCGAGCGATCGTGCTTACTGTTGTGCGAGCGATCGTGATTGCGAGCGATCGTGCTTACTGTTGCGCGAGCGATCGTGATTGCGAGCGACTGTGCGAGTGAGCAAGCTGAGCGTGGCTCCGCGATGGTGATGGATGAGTAGGGGCGAGGTGTGGTGACCTCTATGGGATTAGTGGCACCTCCTGCCCTCCGCACGCTCCATCGATTGGCACCCCGGGTTTTAATTTCACTTAAACATGCGCGCGTGTGTGCATGCGTGTGTGCATGCATGTGCGTGCGTGCGTGTGTGTGTGTGTGTGGTTAGCACACCGCGCTACGAACCAGGCGACCCGTGATAATCTGAACCGGTCCTGGGCCCTACCCTAGGTTAACTCGGCCTCAAATGAGTACCTGGTGCGGTGTGTAGTAAACATCGCCACCCGGGAGACAAAGGCGGCCGGGCGTGGTGCTGGCCACCCACCCCCTCGTGTGCTGCGCCGGCCTTCATAGATGACTCGCCAACAGCACTTGCCCCAAGAATCAGTTATGGCACAACGGGGATATTTGTGTGTGCGTGTGGTTGACTGCGCTACGAACCCGGCGACCCGAGTTCAATTCCCGCTCACGGCCAACATCCGTGACAATTATATGAACTGGTCCCGGGCCTCCCCTAGGTCGACTCTGCCTCAAATGACTACCTGGTGCATTGTGCGGGCCTTTATAGGTGCTCACTAATAGTACTTGCCCCAGCAGTTTGTTCCAGGCTATATGGGGGATCTTTGTCTTCATACGTATCATTCTTATTATGCAAACCACTTGCTGTGCTGCCACCATCTGGCTACGCTGTAGCCTAGCTGCTTTGGGAGTTCACAAATCTCTGCGTGATCCACAAACCCTGACCTCTACAAAGCATCTGCCACAATGAACAAAACATCCACACGCCACATTCCAAGCAGGTTTAGAGCCTGGCTCACACCTGCATGGGTCACCAGCAGTGCTGCATACATAGGTGGTGGGTGAGTTGAGTGAGAGGGTAGGTGGGTGAGGAGGGGGTGGGTGGGTGAGGGGGTGGGTGGGTGGGTGAGTGGGTAGATGGGTTGGTGGGATGAGCGGGGTGGGTGAGTGGGTAGGTGAGTGGATGGTGGATTAGTGAGTGGGTGGGTGAGTCGGGGGGGGGGGGGGGCAGGGTTTCCACTTGTCTACAAGTTTCAACATTCCACACTCTCCCCTCTCACTCCCCGCTCTCCCCTCGCTCCACAATATCCCCTCTCCTCCACGCTCCACCCCCGCTCCGCCCTCGCTCTCCACTCTGCTCTCACCCTGCCCTCTCTCTCCGCGGACCGACAGGAATCCAATTCATCGCTCCGTGTCTGATGGATGGAGCGGCCCGGTGGGGTGCGTGCCCCACGTCCCCCACCACCCTCCCCCCAACTCACCTGCCCCCCCCCCCCACCCCACGCTGCCCCCACCCCCCCCTCCCCCCTCGTGCGTATAGCGAGGGTTGGGCGCTCCGCTTGACGGACGAGCGGGCGCGACCGCACGCGACGCCCCCTGCGATTAACTCGACCGGCCAACGGCGGGTCGTTGTCGTGGGGGGGGGCCGGGGGCGGCGCGTGGGGGGCGGGGGGGGGCGAGGGGGGGGGGGGCATCGCTCGCGGCGAGTTCTGCCGCGCGCGCGGCGCGACCGTCGGTCGGGTCGAACCCACGAGCCCGCGACCTCCTGCGCGCCAGGCGAGGCCGTCAGCGTCTCGGCACCGCCGCGCGACGCTGGCGCCGGACCTCGGTGAAATTGTCGGCGTCGCCCGGCCGCCCCGCGTTCGAGCCAACGGGCCCCCGGCCGCCCGCGTCGAGCTAACTGGGCCCCCAACCGCCCCGCGTCGAGCTAACTGGGCCCCGGCCGCCCCGCGTCGAGCTAACTGGCCCCGAGTCGAGCCAACTGGCCCCGACCGCCCCGAGTCGAGCCAACTGGGCCCCCGCCGCCTCCGGGTTGCGGCCGGGGGTGGCAGCGCCGCGTACACGGTGCCCCAGTGAAGAGTTCCCATCTCCCGTCGCCCAGTGAGCGATGCTGTGTGGGACGTCTCCGTGGAATGAGCTTACCGCTCGCATATTGGGATTTACATCGATGCACAGATTGCAGAAAGTAGTTCCTGCTCCTTCCATGTTGAGGACTTGGTCCATGCCAGGCTGTTTCGTCGAAAGCACCACCGCACTGCAGGTCACAGCAAACTCGCTGACTCACACACTCGCTCGCACGCACGCTCACTCGCAAACTCACTCGCACACACACACACTCGCACATTCAGTCACGCTTTCACTCACACTCCCAAATCGCTCACCCAGTCACTAACCCAACCGCTTACCCAGTTATCCACCGACTCGCCACACAGCAGGTCACCTCACTTCTCTCTCTGCTTCTTCCCTCGCAACCGCTCCACTCTGGAATTCCCATCACCACCACCACCACCATCGTCACCACCCTCATCGCCTTTTCCCCCCAACTCTGTTGACCATAACGTCGCTCAATTCAAGACGCCTGTTACACTCTTACCTGTTGCAACTTCGACACTGGGCCGTTCGTCGCAGGCACGCTTGGCGTTTGTGCCTTTGGGCCCTGCGCCCCTCGGGCGGCCGTGTTCACAACAGCGGGAGAGTCGTGAGCGTCTTCCCCCCCTGCTGCGTTTTCTCCTCCGAAGTTTACGCCCGGTTATTTCATCTACGATCGCGAACGGGGATCCTGTCCAGACGTCCCGGTCGAGCAGCGCCCTCGTGGTTGGGGTGTGATGGAGGGGAGGGAGGGGGTGGGCAGGGGTTGGCCGAGCTTCGTCGACGCTGCGACGATGGCGCCGCGACGCTGCGACGGTGGTCAGCGCCGCGAGCGGGGAGGTGACGTTGCTTGTCGTGCGCCTGCCAGGGTCGCGCATCATCACCACGTCGTCGTGGCGCGACGGAGTGAGGCTGGTGCGGGCCCTGCTGGGCCCCGCGACCCACGACCCCAGCCGCGGGGAGAAGGACCCCCCCACAGACGGTACGTGTGTGTGTGTGTGTGTGCGTAGTGGGGAGCATATTTACATATTTAATTCGTGGTTTAGTGGTAATTTATTGAAGGTGGAGGGTTACCAGCCCCTCGCACCCGTCCAGAGGCCCCCGTTTAGCCACTGTGGTGGTCACAGACGCCATGAGGGGAGGAGCCAATCGTTATTGGCCCTCCCCCACAGCACTGTCCACAACAGAGTTGCCCGTCCGGCAACCGCGAGGAGGTAGGGGGTTGTTTTGCCCGACACTTCACGTGGCCTCAAGGTGCACATGGCCTAGCACAAGCGTCGTGGTGACGTCACCGCCACTTAGTGGCGAATGGCGGTTGTTGTTGTTGTAGTGGGGAGCGGTGGTGTACCGTTAGCGCGCTGCGCTACGAACCGGCGGACCGAGTTTTATTCCCGCTCACGGCCAACACCAATGACAATTTTCTGAACCAGTCCTGGTCCTCCCCTAGGTCGACTCAGGCTCAAATGAGCACTTGGTGCGATGTGTAAACATCGCCACTGGGGAGACAAAGGCGGCCTGGCGTGGTGTTGGCCACCCACCACCTCGTGTGCCGTGCAGGCCTTCATAGGTTGCTCGCTAACGGCACTAGCCCAAACAGTCTGTTCAGGCTATACAGGGGAGATATTTGTCTTTACGTGTGTGAGTGTGTTTGAACTTGTTACTCACCACCATAGGTAGCCAACCGCGCTAATCGGAGGTACGGAGGGGGAAGGACAACAAACTAAACACAAAAAAGCATTTTTAGAGGAACGAGTTTATCAATCTAGACGATGATTTAAAAAGTGCACAGCTCCAGTGACTTCCTAATATCGGTAGGAGAGCGTTCCAGACGGCCGCAGAAGCGCATCTGAAAGCACGCGATGCGGTGACCGCCATCTTTGTTCGATGGTTAGCCAAAACCTGCTGCACATACACAGCAAAGACACAGATCCCCCATATAGCCTTAAACAGATTGTTGGGGCAAATGCTGTTAGCAAGCAGCACCTATGAAGGCCACGCACGGCAAACACAAACGCGGTGAGGGACGCACGCCAAAGGCCCCTCCCGGAAGAAGCCCTCTCTAGGCCCAGCAGTCCCAGGAAGCCTCGGCTTCGCCTCCTCCTTCTCGTTACCCCAGGGGCGTCCCGGCCGGACGTCCCCAGCCACACGGGGGGCGGCCCTCGCCGCCGCGGGGAGCCGGAGGGGCCCGGAGATCGGCGAGTCACGACGGGGAGCGGGAACGCGGCGACGCGGGGAGGGGAGACGTTGCGGAGGAGCCGCTCACAGTCAGCGACCTGCGGGTCGATGAGGGTGAGCCTCAAACTACTCGGCCTGCCTGCTCGCTCGCTTCGCTCGCGTCGCCAGCTCAAGCACCCGCTCGCTCGATCGCCCAACTGTCACACGCATCGCTCGCTGGCTCACCCGCACTCTCTCGTCCTCTCTCTCGCATCTCCCGACGGCGCGTAGAAGCCGGCGTGTCCCCGTCCTCGCGCCCGTCGCCCCCTCGGTCGGTGCCCGGGGTCAGAGGTCGGCCGCGAGCCGACGACGGAGAGGAGGAGGCCGAAGTGCAGCACGGGACCTCCCCGAAGAGGAAGGCCGAGGAGGCGAGGGCCACGGGGAAGGTGGGCAGCGGGAGCGTCGTCCGCCCCGGCAAGAGGGGCCGTCCCGGCGTCTCGGCGTCATCGGTACCGCCCGCGCTCCCCCCCACCCCCCCCCCCCCCCCCCCCCCCGGGACCGTCAAGAGTCGGGTTCGAACCCACGACCTCTTGCGTACCAGGCGAGACAGTTGACATCTCACAACGGCGGCGAGATCGTTCTAGGCCACGGCTCCGTTGCGACTCCGCGTGCGCGCGCTGTACATTAATCACGCGTTTATCTCGCAGCGCTCCAGGAGCAGAGACGCCCGCGTGCCGGGACCCCGGGGTTCGGCGCCGGCGGTGCCGGCGGCGCCGGCGGCAACCGGCGGCACCGGCGCCCGCAGCGACGCGGACGTCGCTGCGACCGACGTCACGGCAGCAACAGCAGCGCCAGCAGCAGCAGCGCCAGCAGCAGCAGCAGCAGAGCGCGGCGCCGGCACAGCGGGAGAAGCGGCGGCACTACAACGCGGAGGAGGTGCGGTGCTACATGGCGCGGCGTGTCGCCGAGCAGCGGCGGGCGGCGGCGGCGCGACCGGGCCGCCCGGCGCGCCGCCTCCGAGCTGAGGAGCCGGCGCCATGCGGGAGCTCTACGTGGCCCAGCGCCAGGCGGCGGCCGCTGCCGCCACCGCCGCCACCGCCGCCGCCAGTAGCGGCGGCGGTGGCACCAACAAGAAGAGCGACGCCAGCAGCGGTCGGAGGGCACCTGGTGGCAAGGTGAGGTGCACGGGCAAGAGGGAGGTCTACTGCGTGTGTGCTGTGTGTACGCTGTGTGTGTGTGTGCTGTGTGTACACTGTATGTGTGTGTGTGTACACTGTGCGTGTGTGTGCTGTGTGTACACTGTGCGTGTGTGTGCTGTGTGTACACTGTGCGTGTGTGTGCTGTGTGTACACTGTGTGTGTGCTGTGTGTACACTGTGTGTGTGTGTGCTGTGTGTACACTGTGTGTGTGTGTGTGTGCTGTGTGTACACTGTGTGTGTGTGTGCTGTGTGTAACTGTGTGTGTGTGTGCTGTGTGTACACTGTGTGTGTGTGCTGTGTGTACACTGTGTGTGTGTGTGCTGTGTGTACACTGTGTGTGTGTGTGCTGTGTGTACACTGTATGTGTGTGTGTGCTGTGTGTACGCTGTGTGTCGCGTACTGTGTTTGTGTTTGCTGTGTGGGCACTGCGTGTGTGGTGTGTGTACGCTGTGTGTACACTGTGCGTGTGCTGTGTGTACACTGTGCGTGTGTGCTGTGTGTACACTGTGCGTGTGTGCTGTGTGTACACTGTGTGTGTGTGCTGTGTGTACGCTGTGTGTACACTGTATGTACACTGTGTGTTTGCTGTGTGTACGCTGTGTGTACAGTGTGTGTGTGTGCTGTGTGTACATTGTGTGTGTGTGCTGTGTGTACACTGTGCGTGTGTGTGTGTGTACACTGTGCGTGTGTGTGCTGTGTGTACACTGTGCGTGTGTGTGCTGTGTGTACACTGTGCGTGTGTGTGCTGTGTGTACACTGTGCGTGTGTGTGCTGTGTGTACACTGTGCGTGTGTGTGCTGTGTGTACACTGTGCGTGTGTGTGCCTGTGGTGTACACTGTGCGTGTGTGTGCTGTGTGTACACTGTGCGTGTGTGTGCTGTGTGTACACTGTTCGTGTGTGTGCTGTGTGTACACTGCGTACACTGTGCGTGTGTGTGCTGTGTGTACACTGTGCGTGTGTGTGCTGTGTGTGCACTGCGTGTGTGCTGTGTGTACACTGCGTGTGTGCTGTGTGTACACTGTGTGTGTGTGTACGCTGTATGTGTGTGCTGTGTGTACACTGTGTGTGTGTGCTGTGTGTACACTGTGCGTGTGTGTGCTGTGTGTACACTGTGCGTGTGTGTGCTGTGTGTACACTGTGCGTGTGTGTGCTGTGTGTACAATGTGCGTGTGCTGTGTGTACACTGTGCGTGTGCTGTGTGTACACTGTGTGTGTGCTGTGTGTACACTGTGTGTGCGTGTGTGCTGTGTGTACACTGTGTGTGTGTGTGTGCGTGCTGTGTGTACACTGTGTGTGTGCGTGCTGTGTGTACACTGTGTGTGTGCGTGCTGTGTATACACTGTGTGTGTGCGTGCTGTGTGTAAACTGTGTGTGTGCGTGCTGTGTGTACACTGTGTGTGTGTGTGCTGTGTGTACACTGTGTGTGTGTGTGTGTGCTGTGTGTACACTGTGTGTGTGTGTGCTGTGTGTACACTGTGTGCTGTGTGTGCTGTGTGCTGTGTGTAAACTGTGTGTGTGCTGTGTGTGTGAGCAGGACAAAGTGGACCTGGCGAGCACCTTCACGGCGGCGCCCCTCGACCAAGCGGCACGCGACGACTTCCTGGTGACGGCACTTCCTGTTTCGCTGTCCAGAAATTCCCGGCAGGCGCTCCGTCACAGAGCTCCGTGACGGCGCTCCGTGACGGCGCTCCATCACAGAGCTCCGTGACGGCGCTCCGTGACGGCGCTCCATCACAGAGCTCCGTGACGGCGCTCCGTGACGGCGCTCCATCACAGAGCTCCGTGACGGCGCTCCGTGACGGCGCTCCATCACAGAGCTCCGTGACGGAGCTCCGTGACGGCGCACCGAGGTAGTTAACATCTCGTCACCGTGATGTTTTCGTATCTCCCAGAGCGGCAGTTTGAAACCATGGGGAGATGACTCGATTGGTCTGCGGGCGCTGTCGTGCGATCAAATCGCCGATCGCGCAGATATCGGCCGACTGCCGTGCCAACCAATGGGATTAGCCGATCCACGGATCGCTTGCCAACGTATCGACGCGGCGGCAATTAACCCCGGCCGATGAATCGTTGCTCTCGGCGTGGGTGTCGGGTCGACTGTGAGCAGAATCGATGCGATCGGCACCTCGATTTGGGTTCCACAAGGCCGTTTAATGGGCAGACACAAGCCCCCACGGGCAGACACAAGCCCCCACGGGCAGACACAAGCCCCCACGGGCAATGGCCACGCCCACTTTATTCCATCTAGGGGCTGGTGGCCGATGGGTAATTTTGTCGGGTGTCCGACTGTGTTGCATTACAGCGCTGTGGTGAGAACCGCCGAGATGTTAACTACCTCGCCTGGTGAGAACCACACAGCGCTGTGGTGAGAACCGCCGAGATGTTAACTACCTCGCCTGGTGAGAACCACAGCGCTGTGGTGAGAACCGCCGAGATGTTAACTACCTCGCCTGGTGAGAACCACACAGCGCTGTGGTGAGAACCGCCGAGATGTTAACTACCTCGCCTGGTGAGAACCACACAGCGCTGTGGTGAGAACCGCTGAGATGTTAACTACCTCGCCTGGTGAGAACCACACAGTGCTGTGGTGAGAACCGCCGAGATGTTAACTACCTCGCCTGGTGAGAACCACAGCGCTGTGGTGAGAACCGCCGAGATGTTAACTACCTCGCCTGGTGAGAACCACAGCGCTGTGGTGAGAACCACAGCGCTGTGGTGAGAACCGCCGAGATGTTAACTACCTCGCCTGGTGAGAACCACAGCGGTTCTCACCACAGCGCTGTGGTGAGAACCGTTGGTCTACAGGGGAAGCGCTCTCTGCCCTTTGACGACCAGGCCGGCGCAGCCACTGCTGCTGCTACCGCTGCTGATGCTGTCACTGCTGCTGTTGTTACTGCTGCCGCTGCCGCTGCTGCTGCTGTTGCTACAGCTGCTGTTGCTACAGCTGCTGTTGCTACAGCTGCTGTTGCTACAGCTGCTGTTGCTACAGCTGCTGTTGCTACAGCTGCTGTTGCTACTGCTGCTGTTGCTACAGCTGCTGTTGCTACAGCTGCTGCGCCTGCCGCTGCTTCCACCGCTGCCCACGCTCTGCGCTTCAGTGTCTTTGCCGTGTTGCCGCTGGCAGAGGCGGCTGCTGCCCGAGATCTCGGAGGAGAGGCCGAGAAGGAAGCAGCAGGAAGGGGGCTCGCGTCCTCCCGTGACCTCCAGCAGCCGGGAGGACGACGACGACGACGACGAGGACGACGACGACGAGGACGACGAGGAGGAGGAGGAGGATGATGATGAGGAGGAGGATGAGGAACAGGGGGAGGGAGACTCTGCTGGCGACGCCACGAGCCCGCTGGCCGGGTGAGTTGCGCAAGAGCTCGGGCACGCGGCCGCCACACGGCCACGCACGCGGAGACAAATGGCCGCCGTTCGCCACTTGAGTCACGGTGACGTCATAACGACGATCGCGCCAGGCTAGGTGCATCTCGAGGACGCGTGAAGGGCCAAAGGATTGCTGCTGGCAAGTGGGTCATGGGACAGACCCAGGTGCCATGGGTTGGCTGACCAGGTGGTGCAGATGCACCAACTGGTGGTTCCAACTGTGCCAACTCGCTGTGTTTTACGCGCCCCGGCGCCCCGCTCGTTGTTGTGAGCGTCGCTGCTCTGCCCTCCGCTGTTGTTGGAGGGCGACTGCCTCCCAACTGGCCAGTCGTGCCGTCCTTCACGAACCTCCTCGGCAAGTCCACTCAGGTCCACATTCTCTTATGCCGCATCAGCCCATCTCTTCTCTAGCCTGTGCCACACCCGTGTGTGTATGTATGTTTAACAACTCCGACACTGCGAGAAGCCAGTGCCGGATTAAGCTAGTGCAGGGCCTGTAGCATATGTTATAAAGTGGCCCTTGAAAAGTAAATTGTATTCTTTTCATTTACTATACAGCCAGATAATACGACAAATCGCTGAGCTTAAACACCCAGTCGTTCATAAAAGTTGAAGGCGGTATAGTACTATAGTAATAGCGCACGTGCAGAATCGCCGAACCAGAATTGATAGCTTGAAAGCATTTAGCGCGGGGCCCTTGAAAGCGCGGGGCCCGTAGTTTATGTAGCTACTTGTGCTACTAGGATAATCCGGCACTGCCCGCAGCATGCCTTCACGTCAACTTTCACCATCAAAGGCGCCCCGAGCCCTCCCCGATCCTCTGCTCCTCTTTCTTTCCCGCTCCTTCCTCTCCCGTTTCCTCTCCATCCAATCACTTTCTCTCCTCCCGTCCCTCGTCACACCTCTTCTCATCTCCCATTTGCTGCGCACGCCCTCCGACCTCTCACCTTGCACGTCCGGCGTCATTCGGCACCCTCCGCCAACGGCGAGCGAGCTTATTCGTAGGCGCGCTCCTTCAGCCAATGGCGAGCCACGTTGTTCGTCGGCTCCGCCGTCCACGTGTTGCTCACGCATTTGTCTGACCGCCTCTCCGTGTGTGCACGTAAGTCCTCGACGTACGTACGTTGAAGTTCTTTCGCACCGTACGTAGCCAACCGTGCTAATCGGAGATGCGGGGGAAGGGACAACAAACTAAACACAAAAAGCAGTTCTGGGAGAAAATCTTGCTTTCAATCTTGATTATTTCAAAGTGCATAGCACTCCAGTGGCTTCCTAACATGGGAAGGAAGAGCGTTCCAGACGGCCCGCAGAAGCGCATTGAGAAAAGTGCGCGATGCGGTGATCAGCCAGCCAAAAGTTAGTGCGAGTGCTGGTACAGACACACACACACACACCGACGCACCAAAAGAGAAAGAAACACACACGACACGGCCCGTCCTGGAGAATCCTTCTCTAGGCCCTGCCGCCCCACGAAGCATCGGGCTTCGCGTTCCAGACGGCCGCAGAAGCGCATCCTGAAAGCGCCGCGCGACGCAGCGGTGTCTACCGTCCTCGTGACCGTTTAGCCGCCTCTACCCACGCGGTCGGTCACACGCGGCGCACGCCAACGGTTTACCGACCGCGTGCGGGGCGCATGCCCACCAGGTCCGGCGGAGACCGGCTGGCGCTGGTGGGGACGCCGGGGAAGGAGTCTGGAGCCCCGGGCGCCGGCACGGCGACGGCGGCGGCGGCGTCGTCGTCCCCGGCGATCATCGGCGGGCAGCTGGCGCGGATCGCCGCCATTCGCGGTGAGGCCCCCGGCTCGCCCCGCGGTGTTAGCCACGCAAGAGGACCACGTGGGCGGCACGACTGAGATTGGGTTGCTGGATGTGTGTACAGTGTGGTGAGCTCTCGCACCGTACGTAGCCAACCGCGCTAATCGGAGGTGCGGTGTTGAGTCTATGGGCAGTGTTGAGTCTATGGTGCAGTGTTGAGTCTATGGGTAGTGTTGAGTCTATGGTGCAGTGTTGAGTCTATGGGTAGTGCTGAGTCTATGGGCGGTGTTGAGTCTATGGGTAGTGTTGAGTCTATGGGTAGTGTTGAGTCTATGGGCAGTGTTGAGTCTATGGGCAGTGTTGAGTCTATGGACAGTGTTGAGTCTATGGTTAGTGTTGAGTCTATGGTGCAGTGTTGAGTCTATGGTTAGTGCTGAGTCTATGGGCGGTGTTGAGTCTATGGGCGGTGTTGAGTCTATGGGCAGTGTTGAGTCTATGGGTAGTGTTGAGTCTATGGGCAGTGTTGAGTCTATGGTGCAGTGTTGAGTCTATTGGCAGTGTTAAGTCTATGGGCAGTGTTGAGTCTATGGGCAGTGTTGAGTCTATGGGCGGTGTTGAGTTTATGGGCGGTATTGAATCTATTGACAGTGTTGAGTATGGATAGTGTTGAGTTTATGGGCGGTGTTGAGTCTATTGGCGGTGTTGAGTCTATGGACGGTGTTGAGTCTATTGACAGTGTTGAATCTATTGACAGTGTTGAGTATGGATAGTGTTGAGTTTATGGGCGGTGTTGAGTCTATGGGCGATGTTGAGTCTATTGACAGCGTTGAGTCTATTGACAGTGTTGAGTCTATTGACAGTGTTGAGTCTATGGATAGTGTTGAGTCTATGGGCGGTGTTGAGTCTATGGGCAGTGTTGAGTCTATGGGTAGTGTTGAGTATGGATAGTGTTGAGTTTATGGGCGGTGTTGAGTCTATGGGCGATGTTGAGTCTATTGATAGTGTTGAGTCTATGGATAGTGTTGAGTCTATGGGCGGTGTTGAGTCTATGGGCAGTGTTGAGTCTATGGGTAGTGTTGAGTCTATGGGCAGTATTTTTCGATTTAAAGCTTTCGTGACTGCAAGGATTCATCTTCTTTGGTTCTTTCGGTAAAGTCACGTAGAATTAGAATAAAATAATAAATTGATAAAATAAAATAACACAATAATATTCTCACGACGTTTCGGCCACAACACAAGCGACCTTCATCAGGTGAAGGGGACGAGACTGTCCTCCAGACAGCGCTGTCCTCCAGACAGTCTCGTCCCTTCACCTGATGAAGGCCGCTTGTGTTGTGGCCGAAACGTCGTGAGAATATTATTGTGTTATTTTATTTTATCAATTTATTATTTTATTCTCATTCTATGGGCAGTGTTGAGTCTATGGGCAGTGTTGAGTCTGTGGGCAGTGTTGAGTCTATGGTGCAGTACTCTTTGGTTCTATTGGGTAAAGTCACGTAGGTGAAAATAAAATAACAAAAAATCACGACGTTTCGGCCACAACACAAGCGGCCTTCATCAGGTGAAGGGACGAGACTGTCTGGAGGACAGCGCTGGAGTGAAAAAAGTCACGCTCAGATCACGACCTTTAAGCTGTGTGAGAAGAAAACAAAGCGCCTTGACAAAGGAATTAGCATATAATTTAGCATTGAAATGGCTCATTGAAATAGCTAAGTTAAAGTATACACATCCGCAGAGGCACCCCTTGACAAAGGAATTAGCATAGAATTTAGCATTGAAATAGCTGAGTGATTAGCTTGTAACTGGTCACAGAAATAGCTATGTTAAAGTCAGAGCATATACATTCACCGATGCACCTAGTACAAATCAAACAGGAGAATTTAGCGAAACACAACCACGCTCAGACCGCGGAACTTTAAACTGTGTGCGAGCAAACAAGGTGTTCTGACAATAAATTAGCATAGTTTAAAGTTCCGCGGTCTGAGCGTGGTTGTGTTTCGCTAAATTCTCCTGTTTGATTTGTACTAGGTGCCTCGGTGAATGTATATGCTCTGACTTTAACATAGCTATTTCTGTGACCAGTTACAAGCTAATCACTCAGCTATTTAAATGCTAAATTCTATGCTAATTCCTTTGTCAAGGGGTGCCTCTGCGGATGTGTATACTTTAACTTAGCTATTTCAATGAGCCATTTCAATGCTAAATTATATGCTAATTCCTTTGTCAAGGCGCTTTGTTTCTTCTCACACAGCTTAAAGGTCGTGATCTAAGCGTGGCTTTTCTCACTCCAGCGCTGTCCTCCAGACAGTCTCGTCCCTTCACCTGATGAAGGCCGCTTGTGTTGTGGCCGAAACGTCGTGATTTTTTGTTATTTTATTTTCACCTACGTAACTTTACCCAATAGAACCAAAGAGTGGATCCTAGCAGTCACGAAAGCTTTAAATTTAGAATCTGTGGTGCAGTGTTGAGTCTATGGGCAGTGTTGAGTCTATGATGCAGTGTTGAGTCTATAGGTAGTGTTGTCTATGGGCAGTGTTGAGTCTATGGGCAGTGTTGAGTCTATGGGCAGTGTTGAGTCTATGGTGCAGTGTTGAGTCTATGGGCGGTGTTGAGTCTATGGGCGGTGTTGAGTCTATGGGCAGTGTTGAGTCTATGGGTAGTGTTGAGTCTGTGGGCAGTGTTGAGTCTAATGGCAGTGTTGAGTCTATGGGTGGTGTTGAGTCTATGGGCAGTTTCGATTTAAAGCTTTCGTGACTGCAAGGATTCAGTGTTGAGTCTATGAGCAGTGTTGAGTCTATGGGCAGTGTTGAGTCTGTGGGCAGTTTTGAGTCTATGGGTAGTGCTGAGTCTATCAGCGGTGTTGAGTCTATGGGCAGTGTTGAGTCTATGGGCAGTGTTGAGTCTATGGTGCAGTACTCTTTGGTTCTATTGGGTAAAGTCACGTAGGTGAAAATAAAATAACAAAAAATCACGACGTTTCGGCCACAACACAAGCGGCCTTCATCAGGTGAAGGGACGAGACTGTCTGGAGGACAGCGCTGGAGTGAAAAAAGTCACGCTCAGATCACGACCTTTAAGCTGTGTGAGAAGAAAACAAAGCGCCTTGACAAAGGAATTAGCATATAATTTAGCATTGAAATGGCTCATTGAAATAGCTAAGTTAAAGTATACACATCCGCAGAGGCACCCCTTGACAAAGGAATTAGCATAGAATTTAGCATTGAAATAGCTGAGTGATTAGCTTGTAACTGGTCACAGAAATAGCTATGTTAAAGTCAGAGCATATACATTCACCGATGCACCTAGTACAAATCAAACAGGAGAATTTAGCGAAACACAACCACGCTCAGACCGCGGAACTTTAAACTGTGTGCGAGCAAACAAGGTGTTCTGACAAATAAATTAGCATAGTTTAAAGTTCCGCGGTCTGAGCGTGGTTGTGTTTCGCTAAATTCTCCTGTTTGATTTGTACTAGGTGCCTCGGTGAATGTATATGCTCTGACTTTAACATAGCTATTTCTGTGACCAGTTACAAGCTAATCACTCAGCTATTTAAATGCTAAATTCTATGCTAATTCCTTTCTCAAGGGGTGCCTCTGCGGATGTGTATACTTTAACTTAGCTATTTCAATGAGCCATTTCAATGCTAAATTATATGCTAATTCCTTTGTCAAGGCGCTTTGTTTCTTCTCACACAGCTTAAAGGTCGTGATCTAAGCGTGGCTTTTCTCACTCCAGCGCTGTCCTCCAGACAGTCTCGTCCCTTCACCTGATGAAGGCCGCTTGTGTTGTGGCCGAAACGTCGTGATTTTTTGTTATTTTATTTTCACCTACGTAACTTTACCCAATAGAACCAAAGAGTGGATCCTAGCAGTCACGAAAGCTTTAAATTTAGAATCTATGGTGCAGTGTTGAGTCTATGGGCAGTGTTGAGTCTATGATGCAGTGTTGAGTCTATGGGTAGTGTTGTCTATGGGCAGTGTTGAGTCTATGGGCAGTGTTGAGTCTATGGGCAGTGTTGAGTCTATGGTGCAGTGTTGAGTCTATGGGCGGTGTTGAGTCTATGGGCGGTGTTGAGTCTATGGGCAGTGTTGAGTCTATGGTGCAGTGTTGAGTCTATGGGCAGTGTTGAGTCTATGGGTAGTGTTGAGTCTGTGGGCAGTGTTGAGTCTAATGGCAGTGTTGAGTCTATGGGTGGTGTTGAGTCTATGGGCAGTTTCGATTTAAAGCTTTCGTGACTGCAAGGATTCAGTGTTGAGTCTATGAGCAGTGTTGAGTCTATGGGCAGTGTTGAGTCTGTGGGCAGTTTTGAGTCTATGGGTAGTGCTGAGTCTATCAGCGGTGTTGAGTCTATGGGCAGTGTTGAGTCTATGGGTATTGTTGAGTCTATGGGCAGTATTTTTCGATTTAAAGCTTTCGTGACTGCAAGGATTCATCTTCTTTGGTAGTATGTATGTACAATATGTTGAGCTCCTCTCGCTCCGTACGTAGCCAACCGAGTGGGGGGGGGGGGGGGGGGCGGGGGCGAGGACAACCAATTAAACGCAAAAGGAGTTCTAGAGAGACAAGTGTTTCCATGTAGATGATTTAAAAGTGCACAGTTCCAGTGGCCTAATATCACGTGTCGCCACAACCTGGCTCCACTGGGCTCGCGCGGTGAATCAACAGGCACTAATAGCCTGTTGCAGGCTAAACTAAACTATCAGCTAACATTTTACCAAGCAAGGCCCACTGAGCTATGAATCCCTTTTTTCATAAGCGACCTGGCTATCACGAATGACGGCTCGACTTGCTGGCTTACCACCGCGTGCAAATGTATTGCGGACGAATGCGGAGGGGGGGGTAACAAAAAACCCTACACGGAGCGACCTCTGTCTCCGCCCGTGCAACCTCGCACGCCCGTAGCCGCCGCCGCGGCGCTGTCGCTGCGTGTGGAGGAGGAGACGCGCCGTCTCGCCGGCGTCGGCCTCCTGTCGCCCGCCGCCACGGCCGCCCTCGCCCGCTCCGTCCCCGCCGAGCCGGAGGGCCCCGGTCGCGGCCTGGGCCTGGAGGACCTGCGCACGGACTTTACTGACGGCGCCCGGCGGGGGCCCGCCGCGCCCGGCGACCGTTTCGGCGCCCGCGTGCGGGAGATGCTGGGCGAGGACCGCCGAGAGGGCGCGGCGGCGCCGGCGTTCGGCACGGGCGGCCTCCCGCCGGACGGCTACGCGGTGTTCGTGGGGGACCTGCCGGGGTCCGCGGTTGGCCCCGCCGGAACCTCGGCCGCCGCGCCGGCGCTCCCGGCGAGTTACGAGGAACGCGAGGCGGCCATCGCGCGCCGCCTCGCCGGCCGCTCGCCGGGGCCTGCCCCGCTGCGGCACGCGGTCTCCCGGTCCGCCGCATCGCAGCGGCCCGACCCGTCGCGCCCCGCCGGATTGTCGGCCCGCGCGCCGCGCGGCGACGACGGCGACGACGGCGACGACGGCGACGACGGCGACGACGGCGGCGGCGGCGGGGAGCGGTCGTCGATTCCGAGCGACAGCCCGGGCTCGCTGAGCGAGGGGCCCCTGCTGAGCGAGGGGGAGCCGTCTGACGACGAGCGGCCGGAGCGGCCGACGGCCCGGCACAGGTCGCCAGAGCGGCCGACGGCCCGGCACAGGTCGCCAGAGCGGCCGACGGCCCGGCACAGGTCGCCGGAGCAGCCGACGGCCCGGCACAGGTCGCCGTCCCCTCCGGACCGGCGGGGGCGGCTCGACGGATCCGGGGCCGCCCCGCGGCCGCCCTGGCAGCCCCCGTCGCCGGCGTCGCGGCTCGCCAAGGTCGACTTCTGCGCGACGTCCCGGGCTGAGGCGGCGGCGCCGGCCTGGGAGGAGCTGGCGAGGGGCAGTCCCAACAGCGCCATCGCCATCTACGTGCGGCGGCACGGAGTGCCCGCAGGCCTGGGCCCGTCGGCCAGCGCGGCACCAGTCGTAGAGACCGGTAAGGAAGGGGGGTGGCGGGGGGGGGGGGCCCGTGGCAGGAAGGGGGCGTCAGCGCCATTGGGGATACAAAGGCGGCCGGGTGTGGTGCTGGCCAGACCACCCCCTCGTATGCCGTGCCTGCCTGATTAGGTGCTGCTTGCTAAGGGCACTTGCCCTTACAATCTGTTAAAGGCTGGACGGGAGATCTTTGTCTTGTTACTGCATGGCTTGGCGAGGCCTTGATCCAGCAGTTGATCGATCGATGATGACAATGATGATGTATGTTGAACTTGTCTCATACCGTACGTAGCCAATCGTGCTAATCGGTGGCTTCCTAACATCGCATTCCAGACGGCCGCAGAAGCGCATCTAAAAGCGCGCGATGAGGCTTAAAGGTCGCGATCTGAGCGTGGCTTTTTCACTCCAGCGCTGTCCTCCAGACAGTCTCGTCCCTTCACCTGATGAAGGCCGCTTGTGTTGTGGCCGAAACGTCGTGAGAATATTATTGTGTTATTTTATTTTATCAATATATTTTTTTTATTCTCATTCTACGTGGTGACTTTACCGAAAGAACCAAAGAAGGCCAGCCAAAAACCCGCTGCTTGCGAGGGTGAGCGGAGTTTGCGTGATGATGGTTTACGCTTTCTTGACGAGATCGGGTCGAGGGTGTTGCGGTCCGTTGGTGGCGAGCACTTCGTGCGCGTGATGGGCGCGTGTTCGTTCGGCAACCAGAAGCCGGATGAGGGCGGGTTTACCGGGGCTCGCGGTCGTGCGATGGGAGGAAGTGCGGTGTGGTCACTGCTGCTCACCGGCCCTGTGGCCCACCCCCCTGGAATATTCAGGACGCGGCGGTGGCCGCGACGACGTGGAGGAGGACGAGGAGGAGCAGGAGGAGCAGGAGGAGGAGCAGGAGGAGGAGCAGGAGGAGGAGCAGGAGGAGGAGCAGGAGGAGAGCCGCGGAGCGGAGTCGCCCGGGCAGCGCTCCGTGGACACGTACGACGACGACAGCTTCGCCTCGTCCTCCAGCACGGCGTGCACAAGCTTCGGGGCGGCACCGGCGGTGTCGGCGCCGCCGTCGGCCCCTCGGTGAGCCGGCAAGGCGGGTGGCGGTGGCGACCGTTGTTGCGCGGACGACGGGGCCCCCGAGGCCCGGTGCCCGAGCGCGGTGTGGGGGGAAAGGGAGAGGAAGGAGAGGGAATTGAGGTGGTGGGAGAATGTATGGTCGTGTTCTCATAGAAAGGCGGTGGTTGGTAGCGGTTGCGTTCCTGAAGAACACTGCTTCGTGGATAAAATCGCGTTACAATGAATAACGTCGGGGTGAAGCGCAGTCTGCAGTAACACGTAGCACGCAGGCCGAGCAAAGAGCGAGGTGCGCGCGTGGGTAGCACCCAGAAGCATCCAGCAGCATCCCCAATGCCTTGCGCGACGACGACGCTCCTCCGAGGCGGCCGTATTACGACCGCTTATTCCTCCCCGCGCGACGTAGTTCCTGTTGGCTCGATCGCGCCGCACCCAGTTCACACCGTGAAAACTTGCGCGCCTTGGGCGAAGGGGCCTTCGCGACGGAGACGGAGCGGCGCCGAGTTGACTTGTCGTCATTGTGGAACCTGTGGGGGGCAGTGGCTACCCGTCGTGCCTGTCCGTGGGACGGTGTGCTGGGGGTCTATCCCACCGCCTCACCCCCCCCAAAGCGGCCCACGCTGGGTTCAGCGGGTACGGCGAGGATGGTGAGCGTAATGATGGCGCTGAGCACGACCTCTCTCGAGTGCGCGTTCTCATTCACGCGTGTCTTAAACACTCGCTGAATATATACTTTAAAAAAATATATATATATTTACCAGCTAGGGACCCACTGAGCTATATAGATCGTTTTCAGAAGCGACCTGGCTATCACGAATGATAGCTGAGCGGAAGTGGCTTATCATGATCGTGTGGAAATTTCTAGCAGCAGCCAAATGCTCTAAACGCGTGACGTTGATTTTAAACGTGGAGAGAGAAAAACTGTGGAGGGCCTGGAGAAAAATCCACACGACTCCGGGTGAGAGCTAACGAGAGAGAGACACGCAAACTCCAAATATACAGCAGCAGCAGCAGGCGTCAGGGTCAGGATAGAACCCACGACCTCCTGTGTACCAGGCGAGGTAGTTAACATCTCCGAGCCACCGTGATGATGATGAGAGAGAGAGAGACACGCAAACTCCAAATATACAGCAGCAGGCGTCAGGGTCAGGATAGAACCCACGACCTCCCGCGTACCAGGCGAGGGAGATAACACCTCCCAGCTTGGACGAATTCTGGCACCGGTTCTGGCTCGGCGCCGTGACCCTGAACCTCGCCCTCCCAGGTCTCCGGACGGTGCCGATCGGCGAGGAATCGCCGGCGGCGCAAGGGAGCGGACGGTGCCCCCCGCGGAGGGCCCCCCGCCGCCGCCGCCGCCGGCGAACTCCGCCGGCGAGAAGGACGACGACGCCGGCGGCGGCGGCCTGGCGTCGCCCCCCGAGCCTGCGCTCCCCTCATCAGCCCGGGGCCCGGGAGGGCGGGACTCTCCTCGCGCGTGGACGGACGGGGTCGGAGGTCGCCGACGGAAGACCTCCACGATTTCGCCCGACCTGGAGGAGGAAGAGGCGGAGGAGGTTGCGAGCGGGACGCGGGACGCGCGTCCGGCCCCCTCCGACCCCTCCGCCCCCTCACCACCGCGCGAGGAAAGGGGGCGGCTCGGGTGGGAGGGCGGCGGCGGCGGCGGCGGCGGCGGCGGCGGCGGTGGGCAGGAGGAGGAGGAGCCGTGGGGCCCGGCGCGGAGCTCCCCCTGGGGGCTGTCGCAGCGGCTGGCGGCCGAGCTGCAGCTGCTGCAGGCGGTGGAGGAGTCGGCGCAGCAGTTGGGGGCGGTGGAGCGCGCCCGCGGGGTGGCGCTGGCGCAGCAGGAGACCGTGTCGCTGGCGCAGGTCCTCAAGGTGTGACCCCTGACCCCTGCGGCGCGCGCGACGGCTGCTTGTCCGAACCGCGATTCTGTTTGTTGTCCCGCGTCGCGGTTTTGTGACGTGGTTAAGGGGTCAGACGACCTGTGCGCAGCGCAGAACACAATCCCCGACATTTTCTCACCCCAGGGCTATAGGGGCACCAACGTGACGAGATGTTCACTACCTCGCCCGGCATGCAGGAGGTCGTGGGTTGGTGCCGGGACGTCGATTGCACGTCGCACGCCGACGCGGAATCGTGCGGTTATCCTCCAAAAACACGACGAACCGAACGCTTGAGTCGAATCGCGACCGCAACCTCGACAACTTCGTAGAATCCACTTTGGAATTCCGCCCTTCCCCTCCCCCCCTCCCTCCCCATCGTCATCGTCTCTTTTCCCCAAATCCTTGTAATAAAAACTGTCACCCATTTACGACTTTGACGGTGCTGTTTGTTGCTGACCGTTTGGGTTAACGCTGCACCGACCGCACTATTGGCCGGTTCCCCCCCATGCCCCGTGTACCCCCCTCCCTTACCCCCCATGCCCCCACCCCCACTCGTGCCCCCTCCCCTAAATTCCCCCATACCCCCCCCACCCCCCTCCCCAGGTACGGCAGCAGCAGCACGAGCAGGAGTTGGCGCTGCTGAGGCTGCGTGCCGAGCGCGAGGCGATGGAGGCGCAGAGACAGCTGGAGGAGACGCGGGCCCAGCACGTGCTGGTACGCCGGTGACGGCGGCGCTGATGGTGCCAGTGGTAGCGGTGCCGATAGTCGCACCCAGGGTCGCGCCAGTGGTGGCGCCGTGCGTGTAGGTGCTCGCTAACAGCACTTGCCCCCAACAGCCTGTTAAGGCTACACGGGGGATCTTTGTCTTTGTGTGTAGGTGCTCGCTAATAGCACTTGCCCCCAACAGCCTGTTAAGGCTACACGGGGGATCTTTGTCTTTGTGTGTAGGTGCTCGCTAACAGCACTTGCCCCCAACAGCCTGTTAAGGCTACACGGGGGATCTTTGTCTTTGTGTGTAGGTGCTGCTTACTAACAGCACTTGCCCCAACAGCCTGTTAAGGCTACACGGGGGATCTTTGTCTTTGTGTGTAGGTGCTCGCTAACAGCACTTGCCCCAACAACCTGTTAAGGCTACACGGGGGATCTTTGTGTGTAGGTGCTCGCTAACAGCACTTGCCCCCAACAGTCTGTTAAGGCTACACGGGGGATCTTTGTCTTTGTGTGTAGGTGCTCGCTAACAGCACTTGCCCCAACAGCCCGTTAAGGCTACACGGGGGATCTTTGTCTTTGTGTGTAGGTGCTCGCTAATAGCACTTGCCCCCAACAGCCTGTTAAGGCTACACGGGGGGTCTTTGTGTGTAGGTGCTGCTTACTAACAGCACTTGCCCCAACAGCCTGTTAAGGCTACACGGGGGATCTTTGTCTTTGTGTGTAGGTGCTCGCTAACATCACTTGCCCCAACAGCCTGTTAAGGCTACACGGGGGATCTTTGTGTGTAGGTGCTCGCTAACAGCACTTGCCCCCAACAGCCTGTTAAGGCTACACGGGGGATCTTTGTGTGTAGGTGCTCGCTAACAGCACTTGCCCCAACAGCCCGTTAAGGCTACACGGGGGATCTTTGTCTTTGTGCGGTGAGTGCAGCAGGTGGCGGAGTTGGCGAGGTCCTTTCCCCCGAGGGCCGCGACGCCAACAGCGACGCGTGGCTCCCCGGACGGCCTCAGGAGGGGGCGGCAGCGTGGGTGAGCGGGGGTGGGGGGGGGGCAGGAGGTGGGGGGGGGGGTAGGGGGGTGTCCCGAAGCCCCCCTTTTTGCACGAAGCCCCCCACCTTTTGCAAGGAATCGCGTGTGCGGTAACCACATATGTTCGCCGCGAGTACGCGGACGTGAATACTTGCACAAGGTTCCTGTCTCGGTGTCTTGGCATCTTTTAACACCTCCTGTTTTATTGCCAGAAAGGACGTCGAGCCTACTCCTTTATTTTGATACTGGCAAGGGAGGTCCCGCGATCAGCCGCCGTCGGGTGACGACTTTTATTTGATTCTATCTGTGATGACGGACGTTTTATTGTTGCGCCCGAAACGCCGTGATTTAATTTAATTTTTCTGTTTCTCCGCACGTTGGTGACTTTCACCGAAAGAACCAAAGAGCACTACGGATCCCTGCAGTCACGAAAGCTTCAAATCTATATATCGGTCGTATCCGGTGTTCGAGGGTTCCATTCGGCTTCGCCGGTGAATGCTTTGGGTTGCTTTCGCGTGCGCGGTGCGAGACGACGCGCCGGGCGGGGGACCGGGTCTGGCGGCCGGCACCCTCGGCCGCAGCTGCAAATCGGGGAAGCCACCGCCGCCGTCGCTCGAGCGCGGGAGCGACGGCGTTGAACGCCGTCGCTCCGTTCCAGGGCCGCCGACGCTTCGAGCTCCGCCGACGCGGCCGCCCCCCGCGGCCGCTCCCCCGGCTCCGACCGATCGCGATCCCGGCGCGCCGACCGATCGGGGAGCTCGGTGGAGGAGGACGCGACCGCGGCGGCGGCGGACGAGGAGGAGGAGGAGGAGGAGGAGGGGGCGGAGCAGCGCGAGCGTGGCCGAGGATCTCCCCGGCGGCAGGAGGCCGGAGAAGTCGCCGACGGCTTCTTCCAGGGGTGGGCGACCGCGACGGAGCGACCGCCGCGTAACGTTAAGACCCTGGGGCAGGGTGGCGGCAGGGCTGGTGCTTGGCCGCCCACGCCTCCCGGCAAGACGGGGCCTGGGTTCGATCCCTGACGTTTGGAATCGACATCGCGCGCTTGGAGCATTTGGCCGCTCGTGCGTTTCCACGCGATGATGGTGAAAAGCCACTTCTGTGAGCTATGCTTCGTGGTGGCCTCTGAAAAAGAGTCATCATAGCTCAGTGGCACTTGACCTGGTAAAAATAAAAAAATACAAAATTTAGTTTATCGGCAAAATTGCCCACCGCCCCCCCCCCCCCCCCCCCCCGAAAGTTAATGAAGAGCACCGGTTTAGGATCCTTTGCCGAACATTTGAACGTTTGGAAGCGGAGCGACGGGACAAAATAATCTTGTGGATAATGTCGGCCGCGAAAGGCCCAGGCGTTGAACGGGGAGCGCTCCTTGCGAGCGCCTCTCCGGCGCGCCCTGACGCCCCGTGTCGCGATTTCCCGCGCAGCGCGCTCGGAGAGCAGCGCCGCCTCCGGCCTGCCCAGCGAGTCGTGGACTGACGACGAGGTGGAGGAGGAGGAGGTGGCCGAGGAGGAGGCCCAGCAAGGGCGGCACGGCCCGAGGGGCACGGCCCGCACGGCGGGGAGCGAGCACGGCGGCACCGCCACGTCCGACGAGGGCACGGAGGCCGTGGGGTCGGAGCCCTCCAAGGTGGATGGCGCCTGTCTCTCTGTCTGTGTCTGTCTCTCTGTGTCTCTGTGTATGTGTCTGTTTGTCTCTGTGTCTCTCTCTCTGTGTCTGTCTCTCGGTCTGTGTCTGTCTGTGTGTTCTGTCTGTGTGTTCTGTCTGTCTCTCTGTCTGTGTCTGTCTGTGTGTTCTGTCTGTGTGTTCTGTCTGTCTCTCTGTCTGTGTCTGTGTCTCTGTGTATGTGTCTGTTTGTCTCTGTGTCTCTCTCTCTGTCTGTCTGTGTGTTCTGTCTGTCTGTCTGTCTCTCTCTGTGTCTGTCTGTGTCTGTCTGTCTCTTTCTGTGTCTGTCTGTCTGTCTGTGTCTGTCTCTCTCTGTGTCTGTCTGTCTGTCTCTGTCTCTCTCTCTGTGTCTGTCTTTGTCTGTGTCTGTCTGTGTCTGTCTCTCTGTGTCTCTGTGTATGTGTCTGTTTGTCTCTGTCTCTCTCTGTCTGTGTCTGTCTGTCTGTGTGTTCTGTCTGTCTGTCTCTTTGTCTGTGTCTCTCTCTCTCTGTGTCTGTCTCTGTGTGTGTCTGTCTGTGTCTGTCTCTCTCTCTGTCTCTCTGTCTGTGTCTGTCTGTGTGTGCTGTCTGTCTGTCTCTCTGTGTCTTTCTCTCTGTGTCTGTCTGTCTGTGTCTGTCTCTTTATGTGTCTATGTCTATGTATCTGTCTGTCTCTCCGTGTTTTTGTCTCTCTGTGTCTGTCTCTTTGTGTCTCTTTCTGTGTGTCTCTGTGTGTCTCTCTGTATCTGTCTTTGTCTCTCTTTGCGTCTGTCTGTGTGTCTTTCTCTGTATGTGTGTCTGTCTGTGTGTCTCACTGCTGTCTCCCTTGTCTCTCGCTCTCTCTCTCTCTCTGCCTACGTCTCACTTGCATCCCTCCCCGTATCCGTCCGTCTCTGTACCTGTCAAGCAGCGTCTCTCTGTGTCTCCCTAAGTCTCCGTTCCTTCCCTTCCTTGTCTCTCTCTCTCTGGCTGTCTCCCTTGACTGTCTTATTCTGTCCCTTTCTCTCGGTTCTCGCTGTGCCTGCTCCGTGTCTCGTCCCCCCGTCTGTCTGCTGATGAGACTACTCGCTGTCGACAGGGGATCCGTTACCTCCCTTGCGCTGAATCAATGCTGCTGCAATGATGCACTTGTAAAGGAGTTCTAGCCGGCGTGGTCCTGAAACTCTTTAACTCCCACGAAGTCACAGAACTTAGGGCAGGGGTGGGGATCGTCCGGCCCGCTGGCCGTACGAGGCACCGCAAAATTATTTGGGTCTCTGGCCCTGCCAAGGCAACCGCAGGCGGGACTCGAAATTCAATAAATCTAGGTAGAGCAAACCTGGAAAAGTAGTTGCGAGTAGCAACAGCGTCAATACCGGTTCGATCCCGACCCTTGACGCCTGCTGCTGTATATTTGGAGTTTGCGGTGTCTCTCTCTCAGTCATCACGGTAGCTAGGAGATGTTAACTACCTCGCCTGGTAAATGGGAGATACGTTGGTTCGATCCCGACCCTTGACGTCTGCTGGAAATTTGGAGTTTGAGTGTGTCTCTCTCTCTCATGATCATCACGGTAGGCCTAGGAGATGTTAACTACCTCGCCTCGTATACGGGAGGTCGTGGGTTCGATCGCGACCCTTGACGCCCGCATAGCGAGTCTCCCCTGGGTGGTGCGCGAGTTTGACCGTGCCACCTATGGCTGTCGTTCCAGCTGGCCTCGTTCCACTCGAACGCGCGTCCGGCTGTGCCGGGCGGCGGAGGGTTCCACAACACGCAGATTTTGGGCCGGGTCACTAAATTAGTTGGTGGCCTAACCACCGAACACCCGGCCAAGACTTGACGGCATTGGCTCGGACAACCCCACGACGTGTCGTTGAGCGGGCCCCTGTCGTTGCTTGTCGTCGTTTGTTGACGCTTGGTTGTGGTTTTGTTGTTGACATTTGATTCGTTGTCGTCGTCGCAGAGGGGCGCCGACTGGTCCGGCGGCGGAGGATTGTCGCTCGCTGCCCTGGGGCAGCTGCTGGCGGAGGAGGAGGAGGAGGAACGCGCCCAGCACCAGCTGGCACTGCTGCGGCTGCGCGACCACGCGCTGAGGCAGAATGCTCGCGCCGAGCTCGCCTGGATCCAGCACCAGCGGGAGTGCGCAGTTCACTCGCTCGCTCGCTCTCGCACGCTCTCGCATGCTCGCTCTCTCACGCTCGCTCTCTCACGCTCGCTCACTTTCTCTCTCGCACGCTCACCCACACTCACTGTCACTCACACTCTCTCGCTCACTCGCACTCGCTCACAATCTCACTCGCATGCTCTCACTCACACTCGCTCCCACTCACAATCTCGCTCGCTCGCTCGCTCTCACACGCTCGCTCACACTCGCTCTCACTCGCTCGTTCACACTCACTCACAAGCTCGCTCTCTCTCGCTCACTCACACTCTCGCTCTCACTCACAATCTCACTCGCTCGCTCGCTCTCAATCGCTCACACTCGCTCTCACTCGCTCTCACTCACACTCTCGCTCACACTCTCACTCGCTCGTTCACACTCACTCACAATCTCGCTCTCTCTCGCTCACTCACACTCTCACTCGCTCGCTCACACTCGCTCACAATCTCACTCGCTTGCCCACTCACTCACCCACTCACTCACTCACCCACTCACTCACTCACTCACCCACTCACTCGCTCGCTTTCACACGGTCACTCACACTCACAATCTCACTCGCTCGCTCACGCTCGCTCGCAATCTCACTCACACTCTCACTCGCTCACTCGCTCTCACTCACAACCTCGCTCGCCCTCACACGCTCGCCCTCACACGCTCACTCGCTCGGCACCGCGGTAATCGTCGTCATTCGCAGGCGGCTGACGCAAGCGCCCGGCGCCGGCGGTGGCGCCTCGGACGGGGCCGGCCCGGGCCCCGTCCCCGGCGAGGGCCGCACGGAGGAGGAGAGGACGGCGGCGGCGATGGCGGCGCTGCGCAAGCGCGAGCGGAGCGTGCGGGCGCGCGCGCAGGCCGAGCACGCGGAGGTGCGTCGCCTGCGCGAGGCGGCACGCTCGGCGGGGCGCGAGCGGCAGCTGTTGCTGCGCCAGCGGGAGGAGATGGAGCGCCTGCGGCTGCACACGGAGCGGCTCCACGGGAAGCTGCGCGGGGCGCGCGGCGCTCAGCGCCAGGTGCTGCCCTCATCCGCTCCGCCCGCGCGACCGCCGCTAAACCCACCGCTCCGCCGTCACCTCTAATCCCCACCGCTCCGCCACTGTGACCTATAACCCCACCGCTCCACCACTGTGACCTATAACCCCACCGCTCCACCACTGTGACCTATAACCCCACCGCTCCACCACTGTGACCTATAACCCCACCGCTCCGCCACTGTCACCTCTAACCCCACCGCTCCGCCCGCGCGACCGCCGCTAACCCCACCGCTCCGCCGTGACCTATAACCCCACCGCTCCACCGTCACCTCTAACCCCACCGCTCCACCACTGTGACCTATAGCCCCACCGCTCCACCGTCACCTCTAACCCCACCGCTCCGCCGTGACCTATAACCCCACCGCTCCACCGTCACCTCTAACCCCACCGCTCCACCACTGTGACCTATAACCCCACCGCTCCACCGTCACCTCTAACCCCACCGCTCCGCCGTGACCTCTAACCCCACCGCTCCACCACTGTGATCTATAACCCCACCGCTCCGCCGTGACCTCTAACCCCACCGCTCCACCACTGTGACCTATAACCCCACCACTTTGCCATGACCTCTAACCCCACCGCTCTACCGTCACCTCTAACCCCACCACTCCACCACTCTGACCTATAACCCCACCGCTCCACCGTGACCTCTAACCCCACCGCTCCACCACAGTGACCTATAACCCCACCACCCCACCACTCTACTACCGCGACTGCTAACCCCACTGCCCCACCACCGACCCCACCTGCGAGTGCGGAGCGCGGCGAACCCACCCCTGACCGCCGCGCGTGACGATCGTCTGAACCCGTCGTGGGCCTCCCCTAGGTCGACTCGGCCTCAAACGAGTACCCGTTACGGCGGCGTAAACATCGCCAGGAGGGGAGACAGGACCGGCTGGTCGGGTGGCCGGGTGGTGGTGGTACCGGCCACCCAACCCCGCTATTGCGTCCCGCGCCAGCCTTCATTGAGAGCACCGCCGCTCACTAACAGCACTTCAACAAACAAAAAAAACTATTTTTGTGTTGCCAGGTGAGGTCCACTGAGCTGCGTGGCTCATTTTCAGAAGCGACCGATCAGGAACGACAGCTCAACTAAGTGGCTTGCCGTCGCGTGGACGTTTCTAGCAGCCAATATGCTCTCAAAGCGTGACGTTGATTATCAATAATAATAATAATAATTGACACGTATTCGTGAGGCGCCTTCCACCAGTGTCTCAAGTCACGGTGTGGAGGGAATAAACCGGAGGACCCGGAGAAAAATCCAAATATACAGGTATCGTCAGTGTCGGGATCGAACCCACGACTTCTTGTATACCAGGCGAGGTATTTCGCGGGGTATACAACAGCAGTAGCAGCTGTGCCCCCGCTAAGTGGCGCTGGCATCACCACGGCACTTGTGCCAGGCTCGGTGCACTTTGAGATCGTCACGTGAAGTGCCGAAGGCTCGCTGCTGGAAGGGGGTCACGGGACAGATCCCCTGGTGTCATCGGTCGACTGACTGAGACGACTGACCGATGCACCACCTCGGCTCCCCCTGCTGTGCCATCTTGCTGTGTTTTAGCTCCCCAGCGCTCCGCGCGTTGTTGTGAGCCTCCGCCCTCCGCGGTTGTTGGAAGGCCGACTGCCTCGAACCGCCCAGCAGCGTCCTTCCCGAGCCTCCTGCACAGAGGCCGACCTTGACACCGCCGCTGGTGCCGGTCATTGGCTAGTGCCACTCGGCTCCACGTCCTCCCGTACCGCACCCTTCCACGCTCTTCGTCACGTG